ATCACATAACAGTTTAACACATCAGATAACAAAACAAGGGCTTTATTATTTCTCGAAACTATTACATAGGTGTTCAAGTTCACCCTAGACTATGCCTCTAAGAGGCTACATCATGTGGTTTTATCTATTAGGCTACCTCGTAACTCGATCTTCGGGTATAGATTCCTTATCCTTGGTTTCTCGCGTTGTTTTCTGCTTTGTCGAGGATCGTGTGGAATACCCTTGGCCTTGGTGGCGTTTCTGGTCTTGCTGATTTATTTTTCCTTAGGAAGTCTCTGGACATGTGCCCCTTACCTCCACATCCGTAGCATACTTTATCATTATGTGTGCAATCCTTGGAATAGTGACCAGTCCTTCCACACTTGTAACAAGTCACTTCTTCGTTGCACTTCCCACAATGCTTCTTCTTGCATTTATCACACCATCTCGCTTCACCTCCATTTCCTCCTCCAAGCTTTGAGAATTTGGTATCCTTGTTGGACCTTGAAGGTCCTTCAAACTCCCTCTTCTCTCCTACCTTATATTTTTCTAGACCCTTTTCTCTTATCTGGGCCTCTATGTTCTTAGCTGCCCTAACAACTATTTTCAAGGTAGTTGCCATTTTGACCATTGGGCCAAAGTCTGTGGGTAATCCGTTAGCAAACCTATCAATCTTGGAGAGTTCAGTAGGCACCAAGTAGGGGAATAGCTTCATCCTCTCAGTGAATGCGGTGGCATACTCATCAACACTCATCTTCCCTTTCTTCAGGTTCTGAAACTCGTTGTTTAGGTCTATCAGATCTATCTCCGAGCAGTACTGTATTTTCAACTGTTCCAAGAACTCTTCCCATGACATCCTCAAGGCTTCTCCTCGTGGCATCGTATCTGCCAATAGCTTCCACCAGCTCAAGACTCTAGTTTTTAGTTGTCTTACAGCGAAGACGGTTTTCTGTTTCTCACTACAGTCGCAGCTCTCAAACACCATCTCCATCTTGGAGATCCAATCCATAATCTCAACCGGCTTCGGGCTTCCTGAGAGACTCGGTGGTTTCGCACCCAGGAAATTCTTGTACATTCGCCCATCCTTGTCGTTTCTCCCCTCCGGGCCTTCCCTTCGTTCGCCTTGAGTCCCCACTTGACTCGCCTGGCGGCTGTAGTTCCCTTCCTCAGATTGTTCGAGAATTGGCTCGGTCGGCTCAACATGTATGGTAGGTTCGTCCCTATTTTCATGGAACATCTATCTCATTTCTTCCCTTTGTTCAGCTAGCATAGCCCGAATCATGGCTTGAACTCCAACCATGGTGACTGGCTCAGGTGCAACTTCTTCTACAACAGGTATTTGATGAACCACTGGGGGTTGAGGGGGTTGGTTCCTATTTCCATTTGCGTTTACGTTTCCACTACGGGTCCTTGCCATCTTGATCTATACACCGAATAAGGTGAATCTAGATATTTATTTAGGATTGACGTTTAAATCATCCTTATCACTCCAAAACGTTTATACGCTAGTTCTAATATCGTATTCGTACGTTTAGAATCCTAAACACATAAGGTTTCCAGATCCGGTCGGCAACAGACCATAGATCCGATCAAACTATAGCATAACAAATCATTTAGCACATAAAAGCAATTTAGGCATCATTCCTAAATTAAGCTAGTGCTCACACCTCACAATCATCGCTTAGCATTCTAAGTTTAAGTCTAGAAATAAATCCATATTCCTAGTTCGCTTAAACTAATGCTCTGATACCAACTGTGACATCCCCATTTTCACGGCAAAAAAAACCGATTTTGTTTATGCTTTATAAAAATCAGAGTTCTTCTTTTAATAAAAATGTTGTTGAATTCGTTCCCAGAAAAACACGATAAATACGTTATTAAAACATTTTCGAAGAAACGTATATTATTCATTTTAAAACATTTGGGATGTCATCGTCAATAAAGGAACATAAGCATAAATAGAACTTACATTTATTTACACTAGTGATCTACATCTCTTTAATCTCTCAGTGTAATGTGATTTCATATCAACACCTATGATATAAATAAACTGAGTGGGTCAGGTTGGAAAACCTGGTGAGTACATAGGGTTTTCAACCCACAATAATATAATTATTATGTTTAAACAATCAAACAATCAACCCAATTACCCATCCCCATTATCTTCTTTACTCTTAAGGATTTATCCTAAGAGTCATCTATTCTGCATTCGTTTATTCCGAAGTCCCTTACTTCCAGGGTTATAGGACTGGCACTAAATCCATAGCTGCCAATGTTCGTTCATAAAGCACTAATTCCATAGTTGCTATAGTCTATTCATCGGGTACTAAATCCATAGCTACCAGTGTTTATCTAATAGGTACTAAGTCCATAGCTACCAATTCCTTAACAGGTACTAAATCCATAGCTACCGGTGTTTGTCCAATAGGCACTAAGTCCATAGTTGCCGATGTTTATTAGTTAGGCACTAAGTCTATACCTACCAATGTTTACTCACATCATCTTTTATCTCTCATCATTCATCTACCCGTATCATACCCAACATATTCGTGTATATAAAATACGTATACAGTTTAAATCATCTAAAACATGTATAAAAACGTTCATCCAACATAGACAGCAAGTATACAGATAATATGCACACATAGCACGTAGTTTATATAAAATACTTCATATCTATGTGTAAGATGAAAGTAACTATGCACTCACTTGAAAAGATGGTGATTCCGAACTCAGACAGCGCTTCACTTCTTGAAAAATAATAATTTCCTTCGACGAAACCTAGTATTATTACCACTAGAGTTTAGTCTATTATTCACCGAGACTAATTAATAGTCTAGCTATTATTACTATTATATAACCGTTAAATAATACTTATATAACCCATAATAATAGCCCAATTACTTATTATATGTTCTTAATAACGTTAATATAATTAAATAAAAACTATATTAAAAATAGCGTAGGCGTAGCTCACTTACAGCGGGTTTTATAGAAAACCAGACTTTGCTTGGAGCAGCATTCCCATGTGGAAAATCTCTTCTTCTCGGAGCCGTCGAGCACTCAGGGGCTTCCGCCTTATGCTAGGGAGGTTCCCTAGGCTTTTCGGGGGGTTTTGGGGCTAGGGAGATAGTAAAGAGAAGAAAGAATGAGAAAGGTGTGAAGAATATGAGAGTGGGAGAGGTTCTATTTATAGGGTGAAAATGGCTGAACTTGGTGCCACATGTCACCATCTAGTGGCAAGACTTGGGGAGAAAGCAATGGCCAAGATTGTGCCACATCACCCATTTTCGCACAACACACTTCCGACTTCTAAAATCCGTAACTTTCACATACGACCTCCGTTTTTGACGTTCTTTATATCCACGCGTAGGTATAAATAATATCTACAACTTTTATTTTGACTCCATCGGCTAATTTTCGACCGATCTTAAATTTAACAGTACGAGGCGTTTAGACTGTTAATGACCGCGAAGAATTCGTAACTCCTTCATACGGACTCTGTTTTCATCTGTCTTTTTACTTTTAAGTTCCTATTAATGAGATCTTTAACTCTCATTTAAGTCACGTAAGCCAAAACCGTCGAACTAAAATTTGAGTTTCAGGTCGTGCACTGCTAAGCCGAATCTTAGAAAAATCATAAATTCTTCATAGGAAGTCAGATTTGGGCGTTCTTTTTATGGATTTTCTCGGTTTAACATATTATATGACTTTCGTTTAGATCACTAAGGCTAAAAAGTCCTCCATCGTAAAATCACTATTTACGCTTCCCGATGCCGTGCCGCTTCCGTCGCGAAACTTCGACGGGTCATAACTTCTTCGTTATAACTCCGATTTCGACGCTCTTTATATGTACGGAAACCTTGTGACATATTCTACAACTTGGTTAAGATTATTTATTCTAAATAATCTTTTGTTGAAAAGTCATTTTCGACCCCTATTACCTCTAAATTGACTAGCCGGATCTACG